CTAACCTATTTTTAAAACTACACAACGTTTTAGCCTCAGTAACTGTATTTGGGAGTTTGTTGCACTCATCCACAACTCTATTACCAAACCAGTGCTTTCCTATATCCTTCCTGAATTTGAATTTTTCCAACTTGAAACCATTGCTGCGAGTCCTGTCTTGGCTGGAAATTTTCAGCACGCTATTTACATCGGCCTTATTTATTCCTGTTTTCCATTTATGCACCTCGATCATATCCCCCCTAATTCTACGCCTTTCGAGAGAGTGCAGATTCAGGGCCCTCAGTCTATCCTCATAGGGAAGATTTCTGATACATGGGATCATCTTTGTCATCTTCCTCTATACGTTTTCCAGAGCATTTATATCCATTCTCTAATTCGGTGACCAAAACTGTGCAGCATAATCTAAATGAGGCCTAACCAAGGATATTTATACTTCTAGATATGAAGCTTTATTGCGAACACTAATGCACTGTTGTCTTGGTTTTAGATTACTGCTAACCAGAGCTCCTAAATCCTTTTCGCAATCAGTAGTATTAAGATCTACATTATGTCGCATGGTTATTTTCCTGTCCAACATTTAGAACTTTGCATTTGTCTATATTAAACTGCATCTGCCACTTCTCTGACCATTGCATCAGTCTATTCAAATCATCCTGGAGTGCTCTAGTGTCCTCATTAGAATGAATTGGATGGCCTATTTTGGTGTCATCAGCAAATTTGCTTATGCCGCTATTTATTCCCTCATCTATATCGTTTATGTAAGTTGTGAACAACAACGGGCCCAACACTGACTCCTGTGGAACACCGCTTGTGACGTGCCCCCATTCTGATTTCTCCCTATTTATGTAAACTCTCTGCTGCCTATTTGCCAGCCATGCTTCTACCCAGGAAGAAATTTCTCCTCCTATTCCATGTGCCTTAAGTTTCCTCTATAGCCTCTGATGTGGAACTCTGTCGAAAGCCTTACTGAAGTCCATATACACAATATCGTATTCATTTCCATGATCTACCTCCTCAAACACCATAGTTAAAAATGTTAGTAAATTCATAAGACAGGAACGCTCCTTTGTAAAACCGTGTTGAGATTCATTAATCAATCTGTGCCTATCAAGATGGCTACGAATTGCTTCAGCTTTTATTGATTCCATAAATTTTCCCAAACTGGCACTATGCCAGTTTGTAGTGATATGTTAAAAAGATTAGCCAAAGGTATGCTAGGTTCCTCTTTACATTCCTTTAACACCCTTGCAAACAGTGGCTGGAATGCCTGTGGTGATTGTTTTGAACTCAGTTTGGACTGGCTATTTTTTCTTTTTTTTTCCTATACTGTATTGTGGTTGTTTCTTTGTGTTGGTATCTTAGTTCTGGTGGCTTCAATTAGTATAGGTCACTGAAACGTGTTCCATTTGCTGCAATTTGATGTTGGTGACAAATTATTGTTATTAGCACCTTTGTAAAAGTGCTGAAGGATTGCATGGTTCCAGTGTTTTGTAAATTGTACAGCTTATGCCTCTTGGGCCTGATCATGTCTACTCCTGAAGTTGTGTGGTCAGTCCTACAAATTCATGGTACTCTAAATCTGGTGATTTTGATCATTCAACATTTGGAAATATCTGTGAAAATTTTGATTATTAAACATTTTTGTATGGAAGTTTGAAGGAGAATAAAGTAAAAAGTTTGTGTGCCTGTAATGTATAAAAGATATATTTATTACATTCATGGGGGAGTGCTAAATTCTTAGGGTCCTACATAGCCTGAGAGGATTTGAGGCAATCAGGTTCAGCACAAACAAAGGGTGGACAGGTCCATTTCCTAGAATTAACAGTCCCTCAGTGGCATCAACTTGTCTTCTTTGAAGGCTTGAAACACAGCCACTTTATCAACCTGGACCTGTAGCTGCTGTAATATGGTCAATTACCTATTGGTTGTCCTTCAGGCATGTTTTGTGGCTAGGTCTGCTTTAGGGTTAGGCTAGGGTTTTTACTAGGTTCTGTTGGTATTTGATATTGTGAGCTATGGCTATTATAAGGTTCATGTATTGGGTGTACATATTTGAAAGTTAATGTACCTGTAGGTGATCTGTGGTGTCACAATGCGGCAATGCTCTAATGTAGGATAGTCTAACTGGGATCAGGTCTCTTTTTAGTAATAAGCCCTGGGCCAATTTGTTTTCCTTGGTTAAATACTCAGTGTGGAATCTTAAATCCATATGTGTTATTTTGTATAGTAGCTTAATTGTAACATTCGCAGATTCGTTAGTATAATAAATAATATTTATTTTGTTAATTATTGTGTTATCTCTAACCCATAGCTTGCATTTCACTTGGTATTCTCTGTTAGTGTGTGAGAGAGAGTCTGAGGGGGAAGAGTAAGAGAGAGATTCTGAAAGCATGAGAGAGTGAGTACTCACTGATATGTGATTGAAGCTGCCAACAACAACACAGGTGGGCTTCAAGTGAACTACTCAGCTACATAGACTTAAGGGTCCAGAACTCTGAAGCAGAGGTTTACTCAGGGTTTTTGGTTATAATGATAAGGTAAGGTAAAAATAGGCCCATAGCTTTAAAATATATATATGTAACAGGTTTATGAGCCTCTTTTGACCCATCAACTTAACTAAAATCCCTGGGTGAACCTTGACTAGGCCCTTGATCCTTCAGTCTTCCTATAGCCAAGATGTTTACTAAAGTCCATTAGTGGCATTGTTGGTGGCTAATAGTGTACCTGACTGCCACACACTAGGCTAGCAAGCTACGGGTTACAAATGACACAGTAAAATAAATATTATAATCATTATAATAATAAATTTGCAAGAATAACAGGTTAAACTACAGTAATTTTATTGTGTTAATATGCTATGAATAATTATCTCTAAGAGAAAAACAGTATTACATAGACATATTCTTCAAAGCGTAGGGCCAAAACTGTTTCGTTGCCATAAAAGATTCTGTGATAATGCTGATAAAAGAAGGGGACGGAGTTGATCAATGAGCTCAATAGAAGATAAAATTTCTACAGTGCACTTAAATATGAACAAGAACCAATACTAGAATTGGAAAAGACCAGGGAAGACCCCTATTGGTACTTGAGATACAAAAAAAAAGAGCCAAGCATTGATTCACAGATCAGTGTCCCCTTTGAGTATGCCCTGGAAGCTAACATGATTGCAAGAAAAAAAAGACTGGTCAGACACCTAAAAAAACAATTACTGAGATAATCAACAACAGGGTTAAGGACAAACTGATGGAGATGGGCAGCATAGTCCTAGACTAAAAAGCCTGTGCTGAATGATCCATGTCAGTTTTATATCTTTATGACATGTAAAAGTAGCTAACCCAAAAACTGCTTTCAGAATCTCAACAAAGATTAATTTAATATTATATGCAACTTATGTTTGATCCATCTTTAGCATATGCAGTGCCAGTAAGAGCCCACTTGACCATGACACAAAATATCTGGAGGATTAGATAGACTCAATTTTTGAGATGCGAAAAGCCAGGGGACAGCAATGGCAGCTAAATATAAAGATGAGCCATAGGGAAATTAAGAGGTACTTTTTCTTTCATTCTCAAGGTGGTAAGCAGAATGCACTAGAAGAGGTGATGAAGTCAAACACTTTAGTCAGCCCTATGAATTTTTAGGGGTTATGTTTCCAATAATTCTAAGCAAATCTTGGAGAATAAGAATACTAATTAGTGATACATTAAGAATGAGGCTAGGTACCCAAGTTGAAAGAATGATGGAACAAGAACAGGGACAATATTGGATGAAAGACAGGTTTCAGAAGTTGTTCAGCATAATAAATTGTCAGGATCATATTAAGGTAAGGAAGTGTTTTTTTAACAGTAGCTTTGAAGTGGCTGGCAGATAGAGATTGGGATCTTCAGGCAGAGAGTTTCAAATGTTAGGTCCATTTATGCGCATTGAGTTTTTACATAGGTTGAGATGAACACAGGGAATATCATAGAAATTTTTTGTCAAGTATTATGCCTATGAGTTCTGTTGCAACTATTAAGAGTGGGATTGATTTTAGAATTGATTGTCCTGTATATGTAGTATGAATGAATTTTAAATATATTAACCCTTTCACTGTCCAGACCCCTGAAATTAATATTGCTCTCAGTGTCCTCTTTTTTGTTTTCTTCTAAAATAGAGAATCTTTTTCTGAAGGTAATGTCACCAAAAGTACAAAATTTGATGGAAAACTTTAGGAATTATGCAGATGCAAAGTTAGTGGTCTTGACACAATTTACGCATCGGCAATTTCGTCCGCTTTTAGTCCTATTTAAAGTCATTTCTATTGGAGGAGATGACAGTGGAAGGCATATAGCAGCCCTTACTCTGACAGTTTAAAAAAAAACATTTACCTTAAATACATGCAGTATTTACCTGGAGTTTACCTGGAGAGAGTTCCGGGGGTCAACGCCCCCGCGGCCCGGTCTGTGACCATTTAGGTAGTATTTATAGACTAAAATGCCGGGAGCAAGGGGCTAGTAACCTCTTCTCCTGTATATATTACTAAATGTAAAAGGAGAAACTTTCGTTTTTCCTTTTGGGCCACCCCACCTCGGTGGGATACAGCCGGTGTGTTGAAAGAAAGAAAGATTATAGCAAAATACTGTATAATGCTGCTTGTGACTGCTTTGTCAACATACTGCATAAATTTGTGAGGAGAGTGGAGATAGAGGCGACTAGCACATGGCAGCCTCCTGCTCGGTATTTTATTTTCTCCTACAAAATGTCCCTTCTTTTGAAGAGTACTACAATGTTATATACACACATACAGACCAGTAAATGTGCATATATATATATGTACTGTACACAGTTTATGAAAGGTGTAGCTACCAGATTTCATAAATTTTATATTTATAAATCTTGCACCAAAAGTAATTTATTATATTATAGTGCATAACCACCTTTAGGTTTTACAGGCACTTGTACATTTTTTTGCATATTTGCTTAACTAAGCTTTTCTATAAATGTTACATTTATTCTTGCAGCTGAGATGAAAACTTCTCCAGCAAACAACATCCTTGAGGCACCTGAGCTTGAATCAATGGATTCTGAAGATCTTGTCCCATCAATACAGGTAAAAATATATTATTGGCCACTAAAATTATACAGTGGACCCCCGCATAACGATTACCTCCGAATGCGACCAATTATGTAAGTGCATTTGTACGTGTATGTTTGGGGGTCTGAAATGGACTAATCTACTTCACAATATTCCTTATGGGAACAAATTCGGTCAGTACTGGCACCTGAACATACTTCTGGAGTGAAAAAATATCGTTAACCGGGGGTCCACTGTATTATGTCAAGCATGGTATACAGTACAAAAGAAGGGAAATTATAAAATATATACAGTAATGGTTATTTGCAAGGACCATATAGGAAATGATAAAACATTTATTAATTTGATAAATATAGTAAATCTGCTGCCAAGAATTTTAGGTATGTTATACCTAGAAAATAATTTAACACAAGATCACACAGATTCATTATCTACAAAACTTAACCCTCCCTGCAGTGCTGTATGACCCTTTGGGTTTAGTGCTTAACTTGACTATTATTATTACAGAGCTTAAATTCCTGAGAACCTGATCAGAGGATTTGATGAAAAATGTTATCACCTGCATAATACAGATTACTATAGCTAGCACTGTAGCTTAGAATCTATGTTAATTTAATGGATGACAGAACAGAATATGACATATCACAAAGTTCCCATGCTCTAATTTTTTGCATCCTTCCTGGGTGAAATATGGCTGTGGCATAGATCATGCTGAGCCCTGCACTCGCTTGTGAAGTAGTGGTTGGTCATTTCATTGAGGTTAGACAGGCATTTTTTGTTGTTTTGTCTGTGCATTGTTGTGATTTTTTGTGTGATAGAATGAAATCTTTGAAAGAACATCATATGTGTGAAATTCTGTTTCAAGCTCAATAAAATTGTTATTGAAACTCACAAAATGCTGTAGCAAGGTTTTGGTGATGAAGCAGTGGGTCCAATGCAGTGTTTTGAATGGTTTTCCTCATTCAAAGAAGGATAAACATCAGTTGAGGATATTGAACACTCTGGTCATCTATCAGCGTTTAAAACAGCCATCAACACTGAAAAAAAAAAAGAGGAAGACTATTCACAATGATTCATTCACCACGACAATGTTCTGCTTATCGTGGCACTGTCTGCCGGTGTTTTCTGGCCAAAAACGATATAGTTGTCATCCCCCCCACCCTCCCTACTTTCCACATCCAGCCTTCTCTGACTTCTATGGGTACTCTATGAGTGGTGTTTTAACAATGTAGAAGAGATTCATGCCAAATTGCAGGCTGCACTAGAGAAGAATAGTTCCAGAAATGTTTCGAGAAATGGGAGAGGCGCTAGGATCAGTGTATAGCCTCCCAAGGAAGAGTACCTCAAGGGAGATAACTTAAACTAGGTATTTAGGTAAGCCTATATATTTTTTGCAGAAGCAGCAGTCCAGGAGCTTTTTGATAGTACCTCGTACAGTAAACCCTTGATATAATGGGCTTAGGAAATTTGGGATAAAATTTGCTAGGTCATTTGATGAAGAAACAACAAAGTCCATTGGTTATAGAATTATCTGTCATTGTTACGTCACAGCAGAACAATCTCATCTCTGCCCACCACGATCTCCATTATTGGCCATCTGCTACCCTCCTCTCTCTCTTTACTTTTTTTTTATTCCCTTGATCTGTGAGCAAGTTCTCAATGGCAACAAAATCATCAGTGAATTCTTGTGTCAATGGATTCATAAATCTTATACCATTGGTCCAAGCAGTTAATGAAGTTATCTCTGTTTTGGGTTAAGAATGAAGTTTTTTCTTCTGTATATAGCTCCCTCATTGCTGGAAATATAATCAAAATTGACATTTGTGAGTCTTGGAAAGTGATCAACTAGTAGATCATCAACTGTAACAGTCATGCATCATATATGATACAGGAGGATCCCATTTATAAAGCAGGTTAGGTTTGGGGCAACTTCTGTAAAGCAAAAACTGTTGTAAATCATGGCCCTTTTTCACATTAAAATACATATAAAAGCCTGATAATGTGTTTACACTATATACGTATATATTAAATGAGCAGCTGTATAGCCCTTGTGGCTTAGCGCTTCTTTTTGATTATAATAATAATAATTAAATGAGCAATATTCTTCTATCAACAAACTGGCTGTATCCCACTGTGGCAGGTGGCCCAAAGAGAAAAACAAAAGTTTATGAGCAATATAGCTAGGCCTAAAAAAATACATATAGAGTACACATATTACTTAAAATATTATTGCCCTGATCTTAACCCTTAAACTGTCCAAACGTAGATCTATGTTTGTGTGCATAGCGCCCCAACCTTGATTTTTCTCCATAAGAAAGCATGTAAAAACAACGTAGATCTACATTCGGAGCGCTACGCGAGTGAACGTAGATCTACGTTTGGACAGTTTAAGGGTTAAAGTGAGTGGTGAATATATTTATTGTACGAAGTCTGAATGAATGAAGAATGGTATAATTGAAAACCACTGTATTAGCAAAATACTATAAAGCAAAGTGCTGTAAAGTGGGGCTGCCTGTACATTAAATCCAAGACTCAGATCTGACATACTGCTATATATGTTCATGAGACTAAGAATAATTCAAAACTTTTAACAGGTTTCTGTTTTAAACTCATGCAGAGTTCAACATAGAAATGGAATGAGATGGATGAATTTAAAATTCTGGGTGCTGAAATGAACTGCATATTAAATGCATGTATGTTATAAGGAAATGGGAAGGAAAGTGTATTTAATATATGGGATGGTGAGGACAGGTAGCAATACCCTGGCAGATCAAGTGATTAACAGGAAAATCTGGCCTGTGCTGGGCTGTGAGAGTAGAAAAGATTTGAAGGTTATAACATGTATGCAGGCTCTTTGGGTGGATTAAGAGATATTTGTATAGGATGATAGGGTTATAAGAATATGCAGGTATAAAATACTAGCAATAATGTACAACAGCAATTATCATGGAAAGTATAGGAGTACAGTACATACAAAAGACTCCATAAGGGCTAGACAAGTATAAGGCTGCCTGTAGGTTTCCCCAATACAGTGGAACCTCGGTACTCGAACAGCTCCCTACTCAGACAAACTCAGCACTCGACCAAACAAACACGACCTGCCAGAACTTCGCTGTAAATTATTTCGTGTTTCTTCGCATTTTTTTTTTTTTTATTTTTGTATAAATAAGTCACCATGGGGCCTATGAAGATTAGTGACAACAGCCAACCAAAAAGAAAATTGGTTGGGAAGAATTTGTTCGATACTTGAACGGACTGGCACTCGAACAGCCTTCTGGAATGAATTAAGTTCGAGTACCAGGGTTCCACCGTATAGTCATTCCTTCAGAATTAAAGTTTCAGGGTTGAGGAGGGGGTAGGCTAATATTTTATAGATATATATAGTAGATAGCTGCATCATGAATACAATATGTATCACGTATCTGTCTGAAGATGGATCATAAACGTTTACTAAGTATTTTTTATCTTTATTTCAGCTAAATGATGACCTGTCTACCGATTTCCTAAATGACATGCTGGAGACGTCAAAAATGGATAATCTTCCTACGTGGCTGTAGAGGGGAAAACATGGAAATGTGAAACATAAAAATATGAAATAAAAAAAAAGCTCATGCTTAGTTAGTGGTGAGAAGACTAATGCCTGGGGAAAAAATAGCATTACATGTAGTGTTAATTTGGTTTTTGTTTCCTGGTTACGTAAAATGTACCTCTTGTGGCTTGAATAGGCAGAAGGCATTATCATTGTCTATAATGGATAGACAGAAAAGTATGCAATCCTGCTTTATGCAAAGAAGGCTTTTGTGAGAGGTAAAAAGGAAAAAAGCCAGGATACAGGTATCCAAATTTAATGTTTTAGTACCTCGTAGGTGGGAATGAATGTTGTGCAAGAATATACAGTGTGGTAATGTGCAGTCTGAATATATCAGAAACTGTGTATGAAGTGAACAGTGGTACAACAAAAAAAGGCAGCATTAATGTAAATGTGCAACTGTGTATTTGCGTGTGATACAGAAAGTACCATGAACTTGGGCTCTCTACACCGGATGGATGCTTTGTTTTCACCTCTGAGGGAAAATTAGCCACAAAAACCAGGCTGCATGGATCATTTACATAGTCTTGAAATCAGAAGAAAAGTGAATGATTGAAGCTATAATTGAGTGATAAATGGGAAGTTTGAGATACGCTGATCCCAACACTGATCTCGTACAGCTTCAACAATATATTAGGCAAGAATGCCCAATTTTTGTATGTGATGGATTAGTGCCTACAGACTACCAAGTTATACTCTTAATATGTGGTGGTGGTTCCCTGTATTGGGAACCTCCCATGTAGGTTAAGTTCTGTTTTGTGAATACCTTTTAGTGGTTTTATCACGTGCATTTAGGACTATATTTTTTGGAGGTGTATCTCATTGCCTCTATCCTCTTCATATATCAAGTGATTCACTACCAATCTTACCGTCCAGTTCTGCCTTGATCAGTAAAATATTGCCAGACTTAATCATGTTACAGAATAATTATATTTATTAATGATAGCTAATTGTCATGTAAATAGTATTTGAAGTTATGTTCTTGTATAAGAAAACTCATTATTGTAATATAAGTAATATAAAAATATTTACCTAAAAGGCATTAATTAATTTTAGATACAGGCAGCTGTTTTAATACCGAAAATGAAATCTCCCAAAAATTAATGGGAAGCTATCGATTATTTTGGACAATGCACTCAGTGCTCCTTTTTATTTGCAAGACAGTGGAGCAATCTGTTGTTTGCATTTTATTTAGTTGATTTTTTTTTTGGCTGTTATGCTCCTTCCATCTGCGGCTACCCTAGTTCCTGTCGTGTGATCATGTGCAGCAGTTTTTACATCTTTTGGCCTCTAAAGCTTCTCTCAATACATGTATAATAAGTGCTATACTTCACATCTTAGATAAAGGCTATATTTTCAGTCTTTTTCACATCTATTACCATTACTCTTATTTAGTCATAAATAAAAACGTGTACAATACCTTTTAATTCTCTTTGTATACTTATGCTTGTCTTGGATTCAAGGCCTGACTGACTTCATACTACAATAAAATTAAATTTTTGAGGATTCTTATAAAAGCCTCGTCTGCATATCTGTGTATGATCAGTGATCATAACATATATATGGGGAGTTTTTAAACAGCCTTAATTTATCATTGTGTAAGCTGAGGCAGTTTTCTTCAACTATTAAGATCTGATGAAAATCCTATGTTGATTCACATTAAATTAGTATTGTATCTTAAGTAGCCCAACTTTGTACTACTAAAAATTAAATGCACGATGTTTGTCAAATTGTTAAAGATATTTGATCACCACTTTTCATTTAACATGACTATGTAATATGCAGGGAGTCTGTTATTGTTCTTATTTGTTAGCACAGATTTTATAATGGTTTTAGAGGTTTGTTAAAGTTTCAAAAGTTTCTTATAAAGTATTTTTGGTGCCTTAGAGGAAATGAGGTGCCTTCTAGTGGCAGTAAATGTATGGCAGCTCAATGAAGCAGGAACTAAGGTGATAGCCAGTCATGTTTTCCAGCCTTAGTTAATAAACAAACACAGTTAATGTACTTAAAGCAATGACCATAGTTTCCACTAGGTCTACCAGTCCTTTAAACCAACAATCTTAATTCATCAATCCCTATGATATGTGACGTGGGTGGTTTCCTTGTTTCTTTTTTTATTTCTTTTTTTTTGGGGGGGAGGGGAGGGGGCAGGTTTGTCTGCCCTGCAATTGTGCCAGCAGTAGCTAGTTGGGATGCTTCCAATTCCCAATTCTAAATGGGAGTTGGATAATATTTTTAAACATAAGCCATGTTCTGTATCCCATAAGGCACTCTGGTCACGTCATCAGTATTTCAAATCCCCCCACATCCATCCGCAGTCTGCTCAAGTGATTTACGGACGTCCCAAGTGCCTTTGTCTGCAGCTGTTTAGTGGCCATTCAGCTCCTCCCTGGGTCATTAAACTGGTCAAAGGTCATGACCCAGGTCGTTAAGAGGTCACTTTGGCAGCTCCCAAGCCACAAATAAATATGTGGCTGTAGGTTAAGTTTCATGTTAATTGTTAAGGCTGGACAAACACCAAGCGTTGACCACACACTTGGTGCTTGTTCTGGTATTATTATCATTATCTTATTATTACTATTATTGCTCCAGTAGACATGAATTTTTATTTTATCAGGAAATGTACATGTTCATTTTTTTTTTATGTTCATAGTATGGTGTCTTTTGTGATATACATCTAGCATGCAATGTTGTTTTTAGTTTGTCTTATAGTGGCCATATTTGTTAGTTTTACAATAACTAGTTAGACAGCAGCAAGGCTCTTGTTTTTCAATCTTTTTAATGTGGTGAAGGGTTCCTAGTATAGATTAAAAGAAAAAATATCACAGCTACCAATATTATATTCATATCAAACTTTCTTAGAAAAATAATCCAATAAAGTTTTATACTAGTAGATTTAAGAGTATAACCCGAGAGTTGACTTTAATTTTCACAAGTCATTTCAGGTTATGTCCTTCCCAATCTTTCTTGCACAAGTTTATGAAGTTCAGTTACTCTACATACCTCTGAAAAGCAATGTATTGAGTATAAAACAATTAAATTTAATTATGTTCTATCAATTGATCTCTTAGTCTCAATATATTGTTTCAACCTGAGGACTTGTCTTTCCATGATCCTAGAGGTACTGATTTCATAAACTGATACTTTTCAATGTTGCCTTGCTTTATAAGGTCCTGTCACAGTCCTAGCCATTTTTTTTTTCACTGTACAGTATATGGGGGACTGTAATGGGAAATAACCCATGTAACTAGGTAGGTAGCAAGTCATTCCAGTTAAAGCATGAAAGATTTTGTGAACGTTTCTAGCTGATCGCCTTCTTTTGTTCTGTTTGATCAGCACACCGCCATATACATCGAACTCTTTGCTAGGAATTGTTCAACTAATCTTCATGCCACAACTGTACTCTTGCCCAACCCTGATCTATGGTATTAGCTTATGGCTCACAAATGATGGTGAAATTTGACAAGTGTGACAAAAATAGGAAACTATTGTAGATACCAACAGAAGTTACATATTAAATTGTGGCTTGGTTACAACCAACTCTTTTTAATGATCACTGTAAACCATTGCCATAAGGACATTTTGTTTTCCTTTTCTTGTCATAAATGTAAATGCCACCAAAGTGCTTATGATGCAGGGGGTGATGTAGCATCCACTCCTCCATGAAATTAAGTGTATGCTGAAGCAATGTAAATAAATTTTATCTTCAAATGACATGCATGTTTATATTTTTCCTTTTTCATAGTCAAAGAAATGACTATTTGCTAATGAGACATGCATACATTTATTTATTTATTTTTCAAGTCGGCCATCTCCCACCAAGGCAGGGTGACCCATTATAATCAAAAGCACTACTAAACTGCAAGGGTGACCCAGAAAGAAAGAAAATTCCCAAAAAGAAAATACTTTCACCTCACACATGCATAATCACTGTCTTTGAGTGCCTCTGCAGATACGACAGTTTAGAAGTCCCTCCAAACTGTCAATTTCCCAAACCCCTCCTTTAAAGTGCAGGCATTGTACTTCCCATTTCCAGGACTCAAGTCTCGCTAACTGGGTTCCCTGAATCCCTTCACCAAATATTACCCTGCTCACACTCCATCAGGTCTCAAAAACCGTTTGTTTCCATTCACTCCTATTTAACATGCTCATACGCTTGCTAGAAGTCCAAGCCCCTTGCCCACAAAACCTCCTTTACCCCCTCCCAACCTTTTCAAGGATGACCCAGACCCCTACCCCTCCTTCCTTCCCCTACAGATTTATACATTCTCCAAGTCATTCTACCTGGATCCATTCTAAATGATCAAACCACCTCAACCCCTCTTCAGCCCTCTGACTGGTACTTTTAGTAGCTCCACACCTATTAATTTCCACACTCCAAATACTCTGCATAATATTTACACCACACATTGCCCTTAGACAGGACATCTGCACTGCCTCCTCGCTGCAGCATTTACAACCCAAGCTTCACACCCATATGAGTGATGGTACCACTATACTTTCATACATTCCCTTCTTTGCCTCCATAGATAACGTTTTTTTGTCTCCACAGATACTTCGACGCACCACTCACCTTTTTTCCTTCATCAATTCTATGGTTAATCTCATCCTTCATAAACCCATCTGCTGAAAAGTCAACTCCCAAATATCTGAAAACATTCACTTCTTCCATACTCCCTCTCTCCAATGTGATATCCAATTTTTCTGTCTAAATCATTTGATACCCTCATCACCTTACTCTTATCTATGTTCACTTTCAACTTTCTACCTTTACACACCCTCCCAAACTCGTCCACTAACCTTTGCAACTTTTCTTCAGAATCTCCCATAAGTACCATATCATCAGCAAAAAGTAACTGTGTTAACTCCCATTTCGTACTTGATTCCCCCCTCAAGGAAGGTTCCTTGATGCTGGTGAGGGGCTCTTGATCTAGGGAACTGGATCTGTGCTCCAGTTCCCTGAATTAACCCTGAATACCTTCCAATCCCCCCACAGGCGCTGTATAATCCTACGGGTTTAGCATTCCCAACATCCTAACATTTACTTCTTTTACAATCTCATCTATAAATATGGAAAAGGCAAAGTTTGTAAATCCAGTCCAATTCTATTGTTTCATATCACCATATATGAAAAACTTATTTGCTGACAATGTTTTGTCAGCAAAGAGGCAGTGTGACTCCCTATGGGTACAGTGTTTCATAATCCATATAGTAGTAAATCACCAGCAAATATTGAAAATCTTGCATTACATTTATGCAAAGCACTAAACTCACAAGGGTCAAAACAGTGCCTATAAATCTTATAGAAATACCACTGTAGATGGATGCACAGGTGAAATGCCAATAGGTATGAAAATGAATACATGTTAAGGGCAGAGCATTTATCATGATAGAGCTCTCCCCTGCACAAACTGTTGTCCCAAAACAACAGTTATAGTATGGATGTCATGTCCATACCACTTCCGATGTTTTTGAAACAACTTAAACTTCATACAATACCTAATCAGTCAGGCTGTCATGATTAGTATGCAGGCAGAAGCAACAATTTGGCCAACAAGATCATGAAGTGGAAGAACATCTGGAACTGACAAACAATATCAGTTTTGTTCATGTTATTGATAGTGGTTTAATTATTACCTCTGAAGGAAATCTTCATTTTCAAACAGACATTCAATAGAGACTAATTATAAATTAGATATATCCAGTATTAACCCTTTCACTGTAGAGATCCCTGTTCGCAAACTTGCTCTCAGTGTCGAAGAATTTAAAAAAAAATTTTTTTATCATGAAACGATAATCTTTTCCCAATGGTAATGAAACCAAAAGTACGAAATTTGATGGAAAACTTACAGAATTACGCCCTCGCGAAGGTAGCAGTCTCGGCGATATTTATGCATCAGTGATTTTGCCCACTTTTGAGCCCTAATTTGGGCCAATTCCATTGTTCCAGTCGACTATATTCATAGCTATTTCGCTAGAATTCCTTTTGTTCTATCGACTGAGTACAAGAAACCACCCATTTACCTACTTCAACTACCCAATAAAGTGATACAGAAATTGGTAATTTGGTCAATTTCATACAAAATTCAAGAAAGGCCAATTTCAAAATAGGATCCAGAATTAACAATGCAAACATTCCTAGCACTAAAATAACATTTTCTCTGTTCATTAGTCACATCTCCAGGCCCCTCCTATATTATGCTTGCTTTCCATTTTGAATTTTTATTCACACAATAGAAGATTTACTGTTATGCAGACTACTGTACTGTAAAAATGGTATAAATAATATCAGCAAATTTGTGAAAGCAAATCAGACCCACCAGTTAACATATATTGGATGCATGATGTGATTTGTTTACTCTCAAACATCAGCAAAAATAGAACATTTCTGCTACTTTGAGTTCAATTTCAAGGTACTTTTAGTCTGTAAACTATTCCAAATCATCTATATTTCTGTAATATATCTTCCATTCTATCAAAGGAGACCAAGAAAACGAGAATACAACCATAAATACCATATGAAAATACACCGCAAAGTCACTGTTTTAAACCAAAAACATGGTTGCAGCTTTTTTCTCATTATGCACTGTGTGCTGCACACACAGACCACTTAGACCCATTCTCTCATATGTAGGTCTACCAGCTATCTCTTGCTAGAATTTTGGCGTAGTATTACGGGACTGACACTGACTTCAAAGCCGTAATATTATGGAACTGACAGTGAAAGGGTAAATACATTTTTGTATATTTTTACCTTCTTAACAATAAGACTTTAAATCACACATCTCATCATATTAAAATGGAGGCAATGACTAGTGGAACCAACACAGAGAGAAAAACTAGGTATAGCAATACAACACTAAAAAGATATTTTACAAAAGAATAGTGTCATCATATCTACAGCCATATTATGAAAAAGAATTATATCCACAAAGATCATACAGCACCTGGGAAATGGGAGGCAATCAGGTTTGATCCAAGGAAGGGGAGGGTAGTTCCAATTCCTTTGACCAAGAAACTTCCATCAGCTTCAATGTACATCCCCCATCCAAAGTCTATATCTGGCAATCCTTGTACACACTGTATTACAGGTCGGCCATCACTGATTCAGCACAAATTTCAGCTAGCTTAATTCGACATCTGCTCACCCATATGTGCTGCCACTGTTATCATCAGTTCCTGATACCTTGGTCACATTCCAAGATGAAGATGGGAATCCTGACAGCCCTTCACCTCAAGTAGATGGCAGTTCTGGCAGCCCTTCACCTCAAGTAGATGGCAGTTCTGGCAGCCCTTCACCTCAAGTAGAGGCAGTTCTGACAGCCCTTCCCCTTAAGTAGATGGCAGTTCTGGCAGCCCTTCACCTCAAGTAGATGGCAGTTCTGACAGCCCTTCACCTCAAGTAGATGGCAGTTCTGGCAGCCCTTCACCTCAAGTAGATGGCAGTTCTGGCAGCCCTTCACCTCAAGTAGATGGCAGTTCTGACAGCCCTTCACCTCAAGTAGATGGCAGTTCTGGCAGCCCTTACACTCAAGTAGATGGCAGTTCTGACAGCCCTTCACTCAAGTAGATGGCAGTTCTGGCACCCCTTCACCTCAAGTAGATGGCAGTTCTGGCGCCCTTCACCTCAAGTAGATGGCAGTTCTGGCAGCCCTTCACCTCAAGTAGATGGCAGTCCTGGCAGCCCTTCACCTCAAGTAGATGGCAGTTCTGGCAGCCCTTCACCTCAAGTACATAAGAACATAAGAACGAAGGAACACTGCAGAAGGCCTACTGGCCCATGCGAGGCAGGTCCAAGTCTCCTACCGGCTTAAGCCAATGCACCCAACCTAGTCAGGTCAGGTCACATTGACTTAAGGGAGGAACACGGCAACCGACCTGGTAGCAAGCTATCAGGTCTAACTCACACCCACCCACATCTACTCATGTATTTATCCAACCTATTTTTAAAGCTACACACGTTCTGGCCTCTATAACGGTACTTGGGAGTTTGTTCCACTCATCCACAAACTCTATTACCAAACCAGTACTTTCCTATATCCTTCTGAATCTGAATTTTTCCAACTTAAAACCATTGCTGCAAGTCCTGTCTAGGCTAGATTTTTCAGCACACTATTTACATCCCTTTATTTATTCCCGTCTTCCATTTATACACTCAATCATATCCCCCCCTAATTCTACGTCTTTCTAGAGAGTGCAGTTTCAGGGCCCTTATGTCTATCCTCATAGGGAAGGTTTCTGATACATGGGATCAACTTTGTCATCCTCCTTTGTACTTTTTTCCAGAAAATTTTTATTCCTTTCTGAAATACGGTGACCAAAACTGGGCGCTAACCCTAAATGAGGCCAAACCCAAGAGTTAAGGTTGAAGAAAACCGAGGGCCCCCATTATTTTGCTTCTTGTAGACCAAGGTTCTATTTGCTTTATTGCGAACACTTACATTTTTTTGGGTTTCAGATTTCTGCTAACCGAACTCCCAAATCTTTTTTTGCAATCCTAATATTAAGATCTACATTTTTTTTTAAATGTGGGATGGTTTTTGTCCTGTCCAACATTTTGAACTTTGCCTTTGCTATATAAAAAAGCATCTGCCCTTCTCCGACCCGCATCATCATTCAAATCTTCCTGGGGTGCTCGAATGTCCTCTCAGAAGAATTCGACGGCCTATTTTTTGGGTCATCGGCAAACTTGCGATGTCGCTCTTTATGCCCCA